ATTACAATTCTACTCTGCATAAGAACATGGTTAATGTCTCCCCTTTGGGAATGGCCTAAAGACACTTCAGTCAGTAGCACCGCCCCGGGGGGTGAAAAGAGGGAAAGATATGGACGGTAACGATAGATGTTCGAAAGGGAGAGAAGGAGCAAACCACCCGCTAACCACCCACAGCAGTTACATTAACAGTACACAGATATTTTTTTGAAATCCAAAAAGAAGTGGAGAAAAATTCAGAGCGAAGGTCGTCACTTACTCATCAATACACGGAGTGTCCGGGGGCAACGCTTTGGAGGCTGGGCAGTCCAGACTGAATCCTCTGGGATCAAAGGTCAAGGATATAAATAGAAAGGGCTGTCGAAATAGTCCAAGACGACCATCCAATACCCAGGAGAAAAGCGGTATTCTTAGACAGGTGGACACCTTGATAAATTTGCTGTAAGCTGACAAAATGCCTCTTTTTTTCTTCACAGCAGTTTCAAGAAGAAGAGCTTTTTTTTTGGGGTCAGTGTAACCATTTAAAATTAGTGATTCAGAAATATGAATTCTAATTTATTTAAAAACTAGTCACAGTTTCGCTTTGACTTTTTCACGCAATTAGGGTAACTGATCAGGCTTTCGATTTAGCAAATAAAAAATGTTGGCACCAAAATGAAAAAAGGCGTTGTGTCAGCTTATGGAAGAAATGTGATTATCATATTTAGAAAATGCAAGGGGTTAAGCGGAAAATGGCCATTTGAAGGCCTATAGGTAGGACAGGAGGCAGTTAAATCCTTAACTCAGAATTTCAAAATTCTATGTGCGACATTTTTGGCCGCTCTGACTTACTAAAACCAGGAGGTCAGAAACCAAATGTTCTATCTACTCTATCAAAACTGTAAGATTCTTCAGTCGTTATCAAGATATTTGAAGATTTGCATTCAAAACAGCTTGACAAGTTGTGAAACTCAGAATACTGTTTTTTAAAGTCAGATTTCTCAAAACTAGGCACTGAGCTGATAGTTCTTTGTAATTCTCGGGTAATTGTTGCTATGGCAGTACGTAGGTCATTATTATTCATGAGATCGTCACGCACATACTAGCTGCGCATACGAGCGTTGTCATCTTGTTTTGGTGCAGAATATTATTGGTGTAGTATTATCACGAATACTGACTTGTATTTGCCGAGCTGTTGTTGTTATGTTTGGTAGAAGTGTACAGTAACAGGATATGGCATTCATCATCATCCAGTGCCAGATCTGCGACAGACATCGGCGATCA